CTCATTCAGCGTGGCCATCTGCCGAGGGTGTGGCGTGTGACCTCCCCCAGTGCCTGCATGGTGTGCATGGTGTGCAGGACCATGCATGTGAGGTGAGGAAGAAGACGGCAGATAGAGGGAAGGGCTTTAAGTATTTCAGGGGAAATAATGAATCAGAGCAGCTGAATGGAAATAAGCCCTTGAGCCTTCTTTTCTTTCTTCTTCTTTGGAATTGATCTCTTGAAAAGTATGTTTTTCTTAAAGAAGTTCTGTCTGTACAATAGCTGTCACGCTGTTTATACAAACTGATTTTACCCATTTTGTCATGGAACATAGTGGACCAAAGTCATTTATATTGTTAGTTAAACTGAAAGTAAAATGGATAATGATTGAAATTGTTGGAATTAACAAGGTGCTTTACTTGCTTCAATGTTACGTTGTTTTGTCTTTTTTTCTTATTGAAAACAACCAATCAAAAGTATTGCAGGTTGCATAAGATGCACTCTTACTAACAGTGTTTGTTACGGAGCAGGTGTTTGGCACTATGACCAGACAAGAATTTGGACTTGCATCGATTTTGCGGAATGGTTGAATACGCCTTTTATTGAGAACATGTGTTGATCCATTTTGGTTGAATTGATGTTGAACGTCATTTGTATTTGACCTTATTGGATCCGTGTACATTAATGTGCCCGGATTGGCTTGATTGACAGTTGTTGTGCTACAAATAACCTTCTGCATTGTCGTGTGTGACATTAGGTTATTGTGGTGGACTGAGTAGTAATTTCAACAGTTACTGTCACAATCAATTGTGTGGTTTGTTATATGGGTCTAATCTCACAGTTTTTTAGAATATACTGTAGCTTTAGCAGCTGATTGTGCCTTTTCTATAAATCCACTATATTGTTATTATAGGGTTGACTATTTGTTGTAAGATACTGTTACATATTTGTACCCAGGGCTGTAGTGGAGGGTAAACGCACGTAAACGCCGTTTACGCACCTCTAGAATTTTGGAAATAGCGTTTACGCACCTATAAATAGCGTTTACGCACCTCTAAGTGGCGTTTACGCACCTCAAAGTTCCCTGCGCCTTGTATAATTCCGTTGGAATAATCCGAAATAAACTTGGTGTAATTTTAAAACAGCGAAGACTACGTTTCCTATTGTTGAACATATAAAGTGGTCTGAATCATGTTCATCTGCGCTGTATTGTGGTCTGTGAGCATCCAATCAGTGCCTTGCGGCTGCAGCAGCGACCAATCAGGATCCAGGAGGTGTGTAAACACACGCTGTGGATGAGCCCAGTGGTCCCCAACCTTTTTACCTCACGGACCGGTTTCATGTCAGACAATATTTCGCGGACCGGTCGAGAAGGTCCGACGGGGGGGTGGGGAGGGGTAGTAGTAGTCGTTGCGGGAGGAACGCTCTGTGTTCGCTGGTCGGGCACGGTAAAAGGACAAGAAAAACGCCTGGTGACGCGTAGATTATAAAACAAGTCAGTTCTCAATGTGAAAACAAAACATGCTGTATGGGCTATTTATGATGACATAGGTAGTACATGGGTGTTCCTTTAACTTATGTTGTCAGTGTAATTGACAGGCTGCTTAACTGGTTAACTCTTAAATTCAACATATTTTTTCAGGCAGTGAGAGGACAGGCAATGATGCAGAGAGCACAGGGAGAGGAGAAACACCAGGTCCAATAGAGAGAGGAGAAGCACAGAGGAGCCATGAACCCCAGAACGCGTGTTCTGGGGTTCATGGCCCCTCTGTGCAAGGCAGGACCTGACGTGGAGGACAAGGAGGCCCTCTGGGAACTACTGTAAAAAGGAGACTCCGTATGTAGATAGTTCTTAATCTACAATTGTGTTGTTGTGTTGTGTTGACATGCTTTTCTTTACTGTTTTCTTAAATTTAATAAACTACAAACTACTAACACATTTATTCATTGTCATTGATTGTATATGACTTTTACTGATAACATAATGCAATATAGTCAGGACAGCTTTACAGAGTGATCACAAAATTCAGAGTTTACCCACCTCTAATTTTACCACTACAGCACTGTTTGTACCTGCATGTTTTAATTACAACGGCTAATCAACCATTTGCATGGTATAAGGACGTACCGGTGTGAGTTTTTTGCAGATGAGATGGTTTTTGCAAAGCTCGTATGAGTTCGTCGTCTTAGCAATTTCCTGCATGTGACGCATCTCCCGTTCCTTACAAAACCACTGTGGCAAATGAGGCATTCTGGAGTTGCAGAGGTGCACAGGCGGACTTTTCAAACCCCTACTTTTAGATCCAGTCATTTTTAGACTGTTTTATAATTACGGACAGCTGTATTATTTGTGATCTGGAGTTTAAATACATTATTTTTTATATTCATATTTATATTGTTCGATAACACACACATCTCACTGTGGAACCGAACACCATATAGTCAATATATAGGTCTCCTGCTTTGACTACCGTAATAGGGGCGTTGCTGGTACACTTTGGTTACATATGTGTATGCGTGTGCGTGCGTGCGCGCGTGCGTTCTCCTTTGTATAAAGCCGTTTCGGCCTTGTCACAGTTGTGTAATCGTTCCTCCCTCCGCCCTCCGGCGCTCGGTTTCAGTTTGAGGAATGGCGCTCGTAACTTGTTCCCATGTCAGCTTCCGTGCACGCGTTCCGCCCGTGCGCACCGTCTCTGCCGGGTAGCCCGTGTGAGAGTTGCACAGTCATGTTGAGGCATTGACCCCCTCCCACCCCCCCTGCTCCCTCCCTCCCTCCCTCCGCCGCAGCCGCAGCTTCTGGAAGAGCGCAGCGGCAGCAGCAGCTGCGACACCCCGGCTCGTGTCATCGCAGCACCGGTCCCCTTGTCCGTCGAGGCTGATCTGCCGGTGCGTCCTCCTCGCGGGGACAAAAGCCTTTCACGCCGGAGCCACCGGGGAGCACCCCCCGCTGCGGAACCCCCACCACCCCCACTCCGCCCCCCCCGACGTGGGAGTCCCGTATTCGCGTGTGATCGTCGCAGTTGTTTAATTAACAACTGCGGGGAAAGTTCGTCTTTAGGTGAGTGTTGTTTTTCAGTCAGGCGCATTTTACTTGCAGAGTGGACGCGCCCTTTGTTGAAGGGGGAAGAGTGACGAATTTGCGTTGTTGTTGTTGTGTGTGTGTGTGTGTGTGTGTGTGTGTGTGTGTGTGGGTGTGTGTGTGTGTGTGTGTGATAGAGACATTTGTTGCATTGTCTCTTGCTGCATTCGTAAGATATCCGGTAGTTTTCTCTTCGCTGTCGGCTTGTTTTCTCAGTAGTGCGCAGACTCGTAAAGGGGAATTGAAACTTGCTCGTTATTGCTGTTTTTCATTCATATAACGCGCGTCAAATGTTTCTCAAAGAACGGAGCAGAGCTAACTCGTCCATCCTCACACCACTGTCAAATCACCATACCAATGGTTTTTGCTTTCAAAATACATTTTTTAAAAAGCTTCTTCCATTTTGAATCTGTCATTTGAAAAAAATGTATATAATAAAGCAAGAAATAATTGCAGCCATGGATAGTATCACCGCGGGTTGACTCTTGCTTTGTCTCATCAACAGTCCCAAAGAGATTCGGTTTACCATAATTTTAAGTGAATTAGCAGCAATCAACAAACACATTTGGATAATTTAATGATCTCCGATCAAGGGGATACAGATACACATACTCAGTAACTCCCTGCTGGAAAATATGATGGATTAAAAATAAACTGAAACTGAACGATTCCTTTATTAATGAGTGAATTAAGTCATTTTTAATTTAATGATACTAAATGTAATATCTTGTTTTACACTGTTTCTCTGATCAAACAAGTAATGTACATATGTCAACTCGGGTTTTATACAATGAGGAGTTCACTGATTAACAAAAAAACAACTGTCAAATGAATCACTATGGCAACAAGAATATTTGATAGTTTTTGCAGTATCTGCCAATACTTGAACAACGCTTTCTTTGTGTCAGGGCTGTGTGTATATTTAGTGTGTCTGATATGGTGAGTTTGCGGTCGGAAAGGCAGCACTGGGCCCTTTTTTTTTTATTCTTCATTAGCGAGTGTTATTTTAGGTCACAGTATATAATGTGCAGCACTTGGAGGAAGTTTCTGACCACCGAAAGTCTGCAGTCATCAGGTCACCTTTGACCCCAATCAGCCACCATGGCAGCTGTAGGATGACATGGCAGAAGAGCTTGTGTCAATTGCGGGTTACGAAATGCTGAAAACTGTGTGTGGTTGTTACAGCAGAGAAAGTCCTCGCACTAAACCCTGTGTGTTGGACGTCCAGGTCAAAGCTGACGGCAGGTTGACGTGTTCCCAGAGCTCTGCCCTCCATCTGCCAACACTAACAGTCTGTAAATAGTTAACTCTCCGCTTCTGCGCTAAGACGGGTTTAGAATTCATGGTAAACAGACTTAGAGGCCTTTTTGTTCCTGTGTTTCTTTCGAAAACCACAACCGTTTCTTCCTGAAACCACACCGTTTCATCAATGGAGCTGCAGTATCCCAAGAATTCCATTTGACAGAAAACAAACGGAGGCACCACGTGCACCGCAGACAGCGGAGACCCGTTTCAAACCAACAGCAGTCGAGATGAATAAACTGGTCAGAACTTGTCTCGGTGGACTCTCGCCGTTGCCACAGGTTTTGAGCAATGCTTTACGCAGTAGCCGAGCGCTGCGCGCCGTGTTAACCCAGTAATGCTGCTGACGATCAGGAGAAACGGACAGGCGGATATTTCTCGCCACAATGACCCTTTAAGGAAATCTGCGCCGCTCTGTGTTCATAACTCTCGCTTCCCTTTGCGTTTAAATCTTGCCTGTGCGACGCCTGATGCCATTTCGATCCTGGCATCTGTTTCCGCTCCACCACGTTGTTTTTCTTCCCCCTCAAAACCTCTCTCTCCCCCCTCCCTCCCTTTCCATCTCACCCTTTTGGTCATATGACCGGCAAACAGGCCGACTGACTGCAGGGTGAGAGGTGAGGGGGGCCAGATTTGATCGTGCAGTAAACCTCTTTGTGCTGGTCTTAGTGAAACGCAGCACGTGGTGAACGCGGGCGGGGAAGAGAAATGGCCGCCGGTCGCTGTGAGTAACGCCGTTGGTCTCGAAGGGTCAGGGGTGTCTGCGGTGCAGCCGACATGCAGCATAACGGACGTCTTTTATCGCTCTCCAGCTTGAACTTCTGCCTCGAGCTGTCGCAGTAGGTGACACTGTGGAATGCAGATGTTTTCATGTTTGCTGGATGCAGTTTTATAGGATTTGTATTCATTTCTCAAGCTTTTGATTATCATATCGGATACCTTAGACATAGCGGTTTATATTTATTATTTTAAAGAGAAGTATATGTTGTTGAGTGGCATCAATCTTGCATAAATGAATGAGCGTATTTCCCGAATTGACTCATGACTCAATAATCTATATTAAAATCAGTTACATTTTATAATAGGGGTAGAAATATTATACTTGACTAAGCTTAACTTATACATGAATCAATGACGCGCTTTATCATCTGTCATACATCAGTTAAACCTCAATTATTTATTACCTAATTTGTTAAATATGAATTAACAGCCGTGAATCTACCACATAAAGTCATGATGACTTAATTGTTTTTACTCTGTTAAAACGTGACGCATTCTGCAATCATTTTTACGTTAAATCATTGCCAGTGACATTTTGTAGAACAAATAGATCTTCTTGAGTACAGGCTGTGTGTAAATGTAGCCACAATCTGTATTCTGAAATTGTGTCTTTTAAACAAGCCGTCAGGATCTCCCTAAAGTTGTGATGTCAAAATGTAGATCAATACACAGTTTCAGGACGGAGCGTCGGGCGGGACAAGAGGAGGCTCACTGTTCTTAGAAATATTATATATATATATATATATATATATATTGTCTGAAAGCTAACATGATGAAAGAGGGGGGGGGCTTTCTGCGAATCCCAGTGCCGGCTATCGCCCCGGGATGAGGACCGTCATGTTCTTTTCCCCGGGACATAGTTTGGCCCCACCAGGAGGTCATATAGACGTTTTAAGCGCTGACATCTTCCATCAGCTGACATGACGGATCATTGTTAGAGGATACAGACACTCTGCTGTCTCAAAGGCCCTGCTGACTACTCTATGACATTATTGCAGTTTTTCCAACACTGTTCACACCCGATGTGCTCTATTATGGTCTGAGTTGCCTGAGTGTTTTCCTGCTGGCGAATGTTTAATATCATCCGCCCACAGAAATGCTTTTTGCTTTTCTCCTGATTTACAAAATCGATTACCAGAGGGGAGCGCTGACTTTTTTGTTTTTGCGTTGTGTTGCAAAGTGGCTTCAACTTAATTTAATTTGAATGCCAATAAGTTGATGAGTCCCTTTTTTAATTTGAATTCTGAATGTGTTCCAGTTTATATCTGGTTCCAATGAATGACATCCGCTGACAGGAAATGAACAAGTTGTTTGCCTAATAGCGCAATTCTGTTGAGACTGTACATTATTTACATACCTGATCGGAATGAAAAAGATGCCTCGACTTCTCACTTGTACCCGATTTTTTTCATCTTAGAATTCCCAACATAAATTCAGAAAAACAGCTCTTTTTGTGCCACCGTGTGCTCTCTTATTACTAATGTTGTTACCATGTTCTTGTTTTGAAATTGGCAAAGTTAAGATAGATGGTAAAACCAGCACAAGGGAGTGGTTTTCCTCCTTACTCATGCTTGGGAAATACAGATGACTATTCCGCTTGTCTCGTATACTTGTTTGGGGCCCATATGGGGTTATGGCCCACATTTTATTCAAGCTGGTAGAGACTTCCTTCCTTCCTTCCTGGCTGTGTGCACTCTTTCCGTGAACTCATAGCTAGCGTGACGGCTGTGAATGCTAACAATAGCTTCGCTGGTTGTTGTTTTTTTTCATTATGATATATCTACATTCCTAGCAGTAATTGGGGGGGAGTGCTTGTAGAGGGAGGCCTGCAGCGACGGCCGGTCAGTGTTCCGACTTGATAATTCTTACACTAGATCTGCAGCCTGTGACGCTACTCGGGTGAGAAAGAACTTGGCAACACTGCCGGGTTTTCAAGTTGGACAATTTCTAAAATGTACTGTAGCGTGCTCTCGTTGGCTTCCCTTTTCCATGCAATTCCCTTCCAAGTTTCATGAAAATCAGGCCAGTATTTTTTCTGTAATCCAGTTGACAAACAGACAGAGGAAGTAATCCCAGCTCTTACGGTCCTGTAAGGCTGTAACTGGTAGTGTCATCTCCAATATAATGGAAATTGGGCCTCCCATTGTCCAAAGCAAAAGGTGACATCTAGTTTTGTCTGGCTAATAGTTCAAAATAGTGCAAAAAATATCTTAAGAACTTCTCACATTTGAGGGCTTATCAACATCAGATGTCTTAAATCTTCTTAAGTCGATTTATGGTTCAATTATCACAATTGCATGTCATTTTTGCTGCTCTCTAGATCTTTTATTAATTAAAACCACAACAAGCTAGATGAGCTTCAAGAAATGTAGAAGCATAATAATGGAGCGCATTCATTCACAGATAGTGAATGAAAGTATTTATTTTGAATTTCTTTCCTGAATAAACAAAGTTAAGTATACAGCGACCGTTACTGTGGGCAAAGAGCAGTTCAACACATTCATCCACGTTTCAAGCTGCAGACAGTGAAACCTTGAGTGTGTGAGCTGCTCACACACCCACTCACTGACACAAAAGGGACGAACATCATATCCAGATGATTTTGATTCCATTAGCTTTTTCTAAAACCATCAAAAGTCTCATCTCTGTTTTTCTTTGTGTGTTTTTTTGCAGTATAAGCGTCACAACAGATCCCAGCCAGGATACATCGGATAATGCCCTTTTCACCCCATTGGACGACGAATATGACTCACTTAAATGTCAAGAAGGATCACTTCCAAAGCCCCTAAACCTGTTAAATCTGGACGAGCAGTGATTTTACCATCGTGGTACCAAAGCAGCCAGTCATGTTGGAGCCTGGACCTGTGGATGAGGGAGTGTTGTGTTGTCCATCGTCGCTTGTTCACCAGCCGGATTTGTGCAGAGAAACACAACATCCGAATGTATTTTATGTGGCAACTGGCTTCTCCTGCAGACTACCTGGCGTGCCTGCTGATTGTGGCCAGGATGACCGGTCATGGATAATACTATTGAGCTATCCACATCCCTGATTTCTTGGGAAATGTGTCGTTACTTAATAGAATTTTAAATCTGAGGCAAAATGAAGGAATTAAGCACATCTCAACACTTTAGACTTTACAAAGACAAAGGAATTTCATCTGTTGAAAGTCTGAACCCAGCGGGTTAAAAACTGTAAGAATAAACAAGTATTAAAAAAAAAGAAGAAGAGTTCGATCTTCCAGAATGCATTGTCCGAGGAAGAAACGTCCCACGCGCGACTTCTCGGCTATCGCGGTTCCCTCGATGCATGGGTCCGGCTGCCTTGACTACACAATCGGGAGCCATTCTTCCAAAGCCCTGCAGGCCATGGAGGAATTCAGACAGCAGGAGATGTTGTGTGACCTGGTGCTGCATGTCACATACAAGGAGAGGACGGTGGACTTCAAGGTGAGCCACGTTCAAAATGCAATGCAGTTCATTCCATTTGGTTCTGTTTCCGTCAAAATTCCAAATTTATTACAATTTAGGCTGAATACTTTATAAAAATGTTGTAAGCTCGACACAGCGTTCACACAAAATAGTTACACAATGAAGATTTTGAATAAATCATCATGATTTGTCGATGAAATTACATTTATCAGGGGAAATAATAAAACATCTTGGTCAGATCAGACATTACAACCTGAACTGTAATGCTGGGATACCCTAACCCTTAACCTCTAACCCCTAACCCTTAACCCCTAACCCTTAACCCTTAACCCCTAACCCCTAACCCCTAACCCTTAACCCTTAACCCTAACAGCAGCAAGCTTTCAAACTCATTGAGTCTCTCTGTGCCGCATTGAAAGGAGATACTTGTTTACTCCAGGTGCTTCTCCAAGTCCGTTGGACTAAGTGCTTCCGTGTGATCAACTGAAGGTTTGTGGTTTCTCAGGTGCACAGGCTGGTGCTGGCGTCGTGTAGCCCATACTTCAGAGCCATGTTCACCAGCAGCTTCAAAGAGCGCCACGCCTCGGAGGTGACCCTGCGCGACGTCTGCCCTCAGGTGGTGGGAAGGCTTATTGACTTTGCCTACACCTCCCACATCACAGTGGGAGAAAACTGTGTGTTGCACGTCCTCCTAGCGGCCATGAGGTAAACACACGCAAACGCATCTATTTCCTTTTTGCTTGCACGATTTTTTTCTTTGACTATTTACCAGTTAAATACACAGGACGTAATCGATTCCCATTTGGTTTCTCCCCTATCAGGTACCAGATGGACGACGTGGCAAAAGCTTGCTGCGATTTCCTGACTAAGCACCTGGAGCCTTCCAATGTCATCGGTATCGCCCGCTTCGCTGAGGAGATAAGCTGCAAGGAGCTGCACCAGCGCAGTCGAGAGTATATCAACACACACTTCAATGAGGTGAAAATATAGGAAGCTCAAAGAAAAGTTACGCAAAATGTGTAGTGTATTTGTTGAGCATAGTCTGAGAAATATACTCTTGTCATGTTGTTGTCGTTAAAGTTGTATCGAGCACTTAGAAGAAGATATTTTGAGTTTGAACATGAATGGCGGCCACTTGCGTTGTTCTTCCATGAGATCGGTGGTAACCTTTGTGATTGTCTGATTTATTGACAGATTATATGCTTTTTTTAATGCACTTCAGTAGTCAATAATGCTTTACTAAATAGCCTGCTGGTTTCATGTGATTAGATCACTGTGCAAACTGTAGCAGCATTGTTTAATGGTTCCAGGAAACCATTGCTTTGGTATTCTGACTGCACCACCAGCACTTCATATTTACTTTTTGTCTTCATATTACACACATGTCCTCTCTTTCCCTGATGTTTTTTCTTTTGTGGCCAGATGCATAACGCTTTCGGATTGTCTGTCCCGTCCCTTCTCATGAACGTGATAACCCTGCAACGCCACAGGGGAATTTCTACAAATTTGGGATAAACATCCATTTTCACTCAAGGCTGAGCTGATTACTATTACTATCAGGGGTGTAACGATTCATTTTAACAACGATTCGATTCGAATTGCAATTCATGGTTGCCGATTCGATTCATGGACAATCTGGGTTCATTTAGAACGTTTCGATTTGATTCAATACAGTGACTTGAAATTGATTCAGTAACTTACTGGACAGTGCAGGCAAAGTTTCCGAGATCCCTGTTTCTTGTAAGGAAATCAGGTTTAAATTAATTATGGATATTATAAACAACAATATTCAAATATATTAACCTTTTATTTGAATCAAGTGCAACCATTTTCAATGTAAACATTACACAATAATTACACAATGTTTGGATCAATTCACAGAACTCCGGATTTTCAACCACATTGTAGGGTCGCATGTCTTTACAGATAAACTTGGCAATTGTTACTGTGATGTTGAGTTTGGTGCTGGCGAGGCCTGAGGAGTCTGCAGAGCTGGAGTTACCTGCTGCTGCTGCTGCAGCGGTAACGCTGCTAGAGGTCCTGACTGTCGGCGTTGTTTAATCCCACGGCGCCTTAGTAGATGGCCGGAAAGATTCGTTGTGTTTCCGTGTTTTTTTATTCGTCTTCTACATATTCTACAAACAGCGACCGACTTATTTCGAACACCTCCGTGTTTGCAAAAGCCAAAATGTTTCCACGCGCTGGATCGATAAGTTGGTTTGTAAATGTCTCGCTCGCAGTCGTCTCCTCCACGCTGTGTTTTGTTGTTGTTCCGAGTTTCGCGCGGCTGCCGCTGCGTACTGATGACGTCACAGACAGGCAGACTGAATCGAGTAACGTTTAACGTGTCTAAAGTGCTAAAAAACAAACAAACAAACACGCATCCATACCATTTTTGCACTTAAATCCAATGTGCAGTTTCCAAGTATCGATACAATTGATTATGTACCATTTCAATCGATTTGTAATCGATATATGTCGTCCGGAATGCCGGTTTGCTGAGCACAGTTCGATTCAGTTGGATCGCAGGAATATAAATCGATTAATCGATTCAGTGGACGAATCGATTAATTACTAACAAATTCACACAAATGTCAAATAGACTTAAATCATAAGGTGATGACAGACATGGATGTCGACTGCAACATGCCGTGTTTGCAGAGGCATACAACCATGAGGTGGTAATGCTAGTTTATATATGAGGGCAACTTCCTTTAACGCCTTCCATCCTACGCACATTAATCACTGAATAACATTTCCTGCATGAAAAAAAACTGTCTAAAATGTGCATCTTCAATAGTCTGATGGCTTGATCTGCTTTAAATGCTCTTGTGTCTCTGTGTGTCAGGTGATTAAAGAAGAGGAGTTCTTCAGCCTCTCTCACTGCCAGCTGCTGGAGCTCATCAGTCAGGACAGTCTCAAAGTGCTCTGTGAGTCTGAGGTGTGTGGCATTAAATTAACTATTAAAAGTTGACAGTCAATCACGTAAGGAACATACTTGCTTGTTCTGCCTTTCTGAAACCATGTTTTCCACTAATATCTTAGGTTTGTTTATATTTTTTTCCAGTTATTTTTGTGTATTGAGGATTTCAGTCAAATGCTATTTGATTGTGGAAACGTACAGTAAATTTACAGTAACTCTCAGTGTTTTGTTTAGTTTGCTTTACTTTGAAGACAAAGAAGGATTTATTTTTTGTGTCATCTCATGCAAAAAAAAGGTCAAACAGTCCTTGATTGAACGCAGATGTACATAACAAACCCCATATTGGAGTGACTAAAGACATTCCTTTTAGGTGTATAAGGCCTGTACAGACTGGGTCGGCTCGGATATGGAGGGCCGAGCGCAGTACCTGCATGCCCTCCTGAACGCCGTTCATATCTACGCCCTGCCTCCTAAGTTCCTAAAGAACCAGCTGCTGTCCTGCCCGATCCTCAGCAAGGTAAACCTCAGTCCTGCTTTGTCATAGTTTTCTTTTGCAGACAAGACGTGACATTTTCAATACTCTCTCCTTCTTTTATCTCCAGGCCAATTCGTGTAAGGACTTCCTGTCTAAAATCTTCCAGGATATGACTTTAAGGAAGCTGCCTCCTGCACCTAACCGTGGAACGCAGCTCATCTACGTCGCTGGCGGGTAACTATCTCAAATCTCAAATTTCATCAACAGCCTTTTTTTGTAACACACTTTTTCTGAACAATAAAAAAAGAGCTTTTCCTCAAAAGCAGAGACCATGTTGGCTCAAATTGGCAGAAGTTTTGTTCTCAGTTATCTTAGAAGCAACCATGAACTCATAAAGTGTCTCAGTCTGCCTCCCAGTGGCTGCTGGGAGGTTGTGTAAGCAGCCTCATATATTTGTCAGCCCTTCGTAGAAACTGCAAAAGTACAAAAATATCCTCACGATGAAAATGTCCTTTCTCGATAACTAAATATATTACTATGTAGGATTTATGATAATTCAATAGATCACTATCAAATAACCACATGGTTTGTACTGTATACTCGGTGGAACTAAATACTATAATATAAGTATTAGTATTTTATTTTATTTGGAAAATAATTTGATTTTCAGAGAAATTTGAGGTAGCATTTGATTGATTTTATCAATTTAGACAAGGTAGTTATAGTGCTGAATCATTGCCCAGCCCTTACTGACGTTTTGACCTATTTTTCTTTTCCACTGCCAAGCACCACAGGAGGGTTTTTATTCAATAAAAACTACCAATAAGATGTTAGAGTTTGAGTGCAATCTGTTGTGGACATTTGTGGATTAAACCCTTGTGAGAAATCGAAAGTATCCTATACTCGTTTGTGATTAAGTATTTATTACAGAAATGAATAATTTATATTGTACGGCTTCTATTGTGTTTCTTAGACTGCCATTCTGTGATGTCATTCTGCTTTGGTAATTTGGGCCTATTTAAAAAGAGGCCCGACCTGCTACTATTTGGTAATAAATTAGGTAGACAGATGAAATTAGCATTAAATAATGCAGAGATATAAACAGAAACTATCTAGGGTTGCTAAACTGATGCAAATATTCAGTGCATGTTGACTTGAGAGTGCAAACAAATGGTAAATTGGTAAAAATGGTAATGGTAATTCTATGCAAATTGCACCACTAAATTCTACACAATGCATAAGTACATACCTGCATGCGTATGTCGGCATATTGAGCCACTGGTCTTTTCTACCTTTAGAGCGAACGTAACCTTTTCTCTGTTCAGATATCAGAAGCATTCACTGGACACCATGGAGGCCTATGATCCCAGGAGGAATGTGTGGCTGAAGCTGTCCAACATGGGGTCAGCATGTAGTGGTTTGGGGGCCTGTGCACTGTTTGGACTCTTCTACACTGTAAGTTTCACCCCTTGTGTCGTACCTCCGACAAATTGTCATTCAAAAATCATTGCATCGTCTTTGAAGGCACTAATATATGTTCTATGATACGAAAAATCCAAAACTCAAACACTGGAATAGTTTTCTGCCTCGTCTATATGTTATATTTAATACTGTTTATTAGTTTTCCCAATTTATGTTTTTTTGCACACGATATCTGCTCAGGTTGGAGGCAGGAACATGTCTCTTCAAAACAACACCGAGTCGAGCGCCCTGTGCTGCTACAACCCAATGACCAACCAGTGGAGCCAGAGAGCGTCCCTCAGCATCCAGAGGAACAGGGTCGGGGTGGCCGTGGTGGACGCCTGCATCTACGCGGTCGGAGGCTCGCAGGGATCCAGCCATCATAACACGGTGGAGAGGTGAGACGTGTGTGAGGATTCGTTTATTCAACTAGCCACTGAAGCGGTAATTTAGACTTTTGATGACATCATTTGTGACGTATTTACTAGGATGAGCACAGATTTTGTCCCCCCCATGCATACATTTTCCCGATCAATCGATGAAAGTGAGAGAGGTGAAATCAATTGCTGCCATTCATCCTAATAAGCATTGGAGAGGTTCACAGGTATTACTCTGAACCTAACTACAAAACGGGCTCCTTCAAAACGTGTCACGACACACAATGTAGGAATGTAGATCCTGTCGGGTAGCTTTACATCTTTGTTGCTGCCGCCGCTGAGCAGGCCGGAGTATTATTGATGTTGTTAATCAATTTGAATCGATAACAAATACGCCGCCTCAAGAGAAATGACGACGAGTGAAGAATAGTCATTTGACTAGACGTTATTTATTATATTTATCCCTTTTTACAATAAAGGTCATATATTTCTAAACAACGCTGATCACAGGAGAATTATCAGGACTCATCAGACGCCACTCGGAGGGCATCTCGCAAGAAGCTGTTGAATATAACAATTAAAATGAAAATTCAATGTGAAATGCATCAAAGAAGATTAGAGCATTTATAGTGACTCTTAAGAACGCTTTCAGATGATCCCAGGCAACGTGTAAGTTCACCGGGGAGCTCTACCTCCTTGTTCAAGTGCACTATATTGAGATTATGTGCTGTCATTTAACACTGAAATTTGCCTTTCTGCATGTCGTTATTTCAGGGTTCAGAGCACACACATCAGCTCAAGGAGTGACGTGCATGTATTGCTTTTCTCGAAGGGCACTTTGCCAATGTTTGAGGGCAGGTGAAGTAATATCCGCCACCTTCCCATCAGCGCTTTACAGCTGGAGTACACCCATAACGAGGAACTAATTTAATCATTAACGTGCAGTCCAAGCTGTCACATCATGACCCTTCGTTGGTCTCATTACTGCTATTGTGTTTTTTTCCAGTATTAAGGAACAGTGTGGCATTTTGGAGTATATATGTGTGTGTGTGTCAGTGGTGTTACAACTCTCTACGGCTTCAAATTAAGCTTGTCTATAGTAACCAAACGTGGTTGCCAGCTTAACTTAATCCACTTAAAGTTGACTGGCTCGTGTAGATTGAGGAGGTTGCTTCACACAGCCGCTGCATCCCGTTCTGCAGCTCTGATGGACATGTCTGATCATGGTAATTGATTAATATGTATATATATATAAGAACATTAGGAACTGTCAACAGATTACCACCTCGACTACATGCAGTGCTTAACTGCTGTTTGGTTTGCAGGTGGGACCCAGAGTCTAATCGCTGGTCCTTTGTTTGCCCGATGTCGGTGGCCCGTCTGGGTGCCGGAGTGACGGCGTGTTCGGGGGTTCTGTACGTGGTTGGTGGATACGATGGGCAGAACCGCTGGAACACTGCTGAGAAATACCAGCCTGACAGTAACACCTGGCAGCAGCTGGCACCCATGAGCACCATACGCAGTGGACTGGGTGAGTGTGTGTGTGTGTATACTCCTGTTTTTATGAGAGCCAGTCTGACGGAACAAATTAATGATGTATTGATAAGCTGGCTGTAGGTGTGCAGGTTATGTTACCTTCTGGATGAGGAAGCTATTAAGTCTTTGCTCTGGTCTTTATGATCAGCTGATCTTACGTCTTCTCTTGACTGCAGTTTAACATTTAACAGAATATTTTTCAGTTTTTACGCTCTGTCAACCAACTGCTGGTTCCAGTGGCATATTTATTGAACAATGTGGTATTGATCTTCTCCTCTAACCCTCAGCAAAGGGAATGCCCCATCTTTGTATGTTCTTTCCATTCCTTTACGCTCCCTTCCTGTCTTTATAGGCTTGGTGTGTTTAGACTCACACCTGTACGCTATAGGAGGTTATGATGGGCGGAGCCAGTTGTGTTCTGTGGAGTGTTACAATATAACCAGGAACCAATGGGAGCCCAGGGCCGCTATGCAGGACTGCCGCAGTGCACACGGGGTTGCAGTGCACCAGGGACGCATCTTTGTCTTCGGTCAGTCACATATTAATCAAGATATTATAAGTGTTTGTTTAGGGAAGTGGTAGCATACTACAAACATATAGAACATAACGTACAAAAAAAAGTGATCAATGAGCTTATATTGCAGTCAACGTGCATCCCTTTGTTAGGCTCATTCAGAGCTTTTTATATATATTTTTTTAATATAATTTCGGACATTGTTTTCTTTTTTTTATTCTATTAGTTTATCCTATTTCATTATTTCCCTAACTATTCCAGAAGTACTTTTGTGTTGCTCTGGGTATTTTAATTTTGACTGTGTTGGTAGTAATTGCTAATGATTGCCTGCTTTGTTTGCAATTACTACGTAGTAAATGAATAGTATATTTTGTTTTATGCGTCTGGTATATTTGCAGAGTCTGACGTTGCATGCATGTAGAAGCAATGAGACCTGTGAAGTAATAAAATAATCTGATTAATGAGTAAACACTCGGGTCGGGAGGCTCAATGTGGCTCAATGGCTGAGTGTTGTTTAATTAAATAGAGTAAAGCATGGATCAGATGTTGAGAGTAAACCAATGAGCAGAAGGAAAATTTAATCTCAGATCGGAAATAAATAACAAACCTCGTTAACAAATCAAATCAATTCCAAATCAAAAAAGTTTGCAACGTCTTTTTTGCAATTATTTCCTCAACACATTTAGGATTTGCAAAAATAAATTGCTTAAAGACCAAATAATCGAACCACCTCGATTGAACATGTTTTGTTTGCGGTTCGTCCAGGAGGCTTCAACCAGCACGGCTTCCTGTGCAGCGTCGAGTGTTACTGTCCCGAAAGAAATGAGTGGACGCGCGTCACCGACATGCCGGTTGGGCGCAGCGGCATGGGGCGTCGCTGTTACCATGGAGCCCTGTCCGCGCAGCCTGCCGGAACAAGAGGAGGACGAGGACGAGCTACATGACGACGGGGACCAGATGGGTTGAAGTTTCAAGTGTTGAGTACATTTTTTTTTTAAGTGGTGCTGCTTTTCAAGAGAGGGTTAAGTGGAAAACCATCCAATACGGACCCCCTCATACCTCCCCCCTCTCATGGATGCCGTGCGGTCGCCCTGTGGAGTACCGCAGACATGTTCTGGAGGGAAGAGGAAGAAGATTTCGGCATCTCTAGTGGGGGACGAGTGATTCGGCAAAAACTGGTAGCATAACGGTGGCGTCGGAATGAGTTGACCCGTTCACACACAATGGTACCATTTGATTAAGTATTGTTATTTCTCAGCGTTTTAAAAAAAATCTCTTAGTGGCACATTTTATATGTAACTTGACAAAGTGAATGACTTTCGTTGTCCTAATTTTTTATTCGTCTGTTAAATCACTACCTCTGTCTCTGTTTGAATGAGCACCTTTCTTATGTGTTTCCTTTATGTTGGTGCCAATAGTTTTACCCAAACTGCCAGTTTGTGTGCACTCATCATATTTTATTTTGTGTAAATAAAATGAATCCACTGTGTTTCTGAACCCAACTTTCAATTCAAGAAATACATTACAATACACGTACTGATGTCAGTGTAGACACATGTGTTTCTATGGACTTCTCGTGATCCCCATTATAAGGATACGTAGCAGCACATGCACTGCCACTAGATGGTGGGATTCATCCAAAAACAGCACAAAAAGCTGTCGGTTTTGTTTTGCCATGTAAAAGTGCCCTAAAGCAACTCCCGGCCTAAAAATAATAAATCAACAGAATCAGGCCTCTAAACACGACGCTCTACCATCTTAACGGACACGGTCTACGTGTGGGATTTACACGCCATGAGCAGTGAAGTCTAGTTTGGATGAAGAATATTCATGTCTCGTCACTGAGGGGGAATCATTTAGAGCAACGGTCCAGAAGAAAGACCGAAGACACAACCGCAGACTTCTCCTGTGCGTCTACTTGTATCTCTCTGCCCGGCTGCCCTCTGTCTCCTCCAGGGGTCACCTGCAACCACCACGGCCGGGCCGAACCCACAGACGCCGCTCTGGACGGAGCAGTTATTCAAAGACATGTTTGAGATTTGTGACGGATGGATGAGAAAAAAAAGTGAATGTATGTTGGGTTGCTTTCCTGGAGCGTCTCCGTCTGCATCCGTCTTTGATTTAGAAAAGGTCTGCGCCCTGCAGGGGATTGTGAGCGCGGGTTATTGACAGAGCAACGAGCGGCGATGGTGAGACGGACCTGGGGGGAGGGTGGGGGGGGCGCAGAGGGCTCTTACTCACTACTTAAAGCCCGACACAAGAGCAGGTGACTCACATGGCGGACGAGTGACGGGCGTCAATGTTGCGCACACAGAAATACGTCCACACACAAACCGGTTTTGTCCTTTTACCTGTCAGACGTGCGTGCATGTGTGTACAAAAGCAAAGCCTGCTGTCTCTTGTTCGCACCCCGTGGAAACGGATCTGCCTCAATGCTTTGACTGTCTCACGAGGGGACGGGACTGCAGAGGAAGATGAGGGACCGCACAGCTGGGAGAATTTCCGTACACAGTGAATGAGCTGAGGAAAATGAGTACACGTGCAGATGTAGCTGTCGTACGAGCCGGTCGTTTGCGCGCTCGTTGCACTGGTGCACAACAGTTGCGCAACCCCAGGAAAAGCACCGGGGGGGGGGGGGGGTCTTCCTCCGATAGAGCAGCAGAGATGCCATCTATAAGATCTGTAATAACTTAGTCATTACTTTGGTGCATGCTGGTGTGTTAGTAATCAGGGTTGATCTTGAGAGCCACCTTAAGACTTAGAAGGACTTGGTATTACCTGCTTTTTTTCCTTGTGTTCTCGGCCTCTGGATTTTGCCTGTGCTTTGTCTTATTTCACTGTTCCCACCTCTGCATTCCCTTTTGAATATTTGACATTTCTCATGGTGATACATACCCATGGAGATGAAAGAAGAACTCTGGTGCACCAGCAGACGGGCAGGGACTGACTTTCGGTCTCAGACCTGAAAGTGCGAGAGGAGCTCGGCAAGCGCTGTTCTTGAATACTTGAGTACTAATTTAAACATGTGTACATTGGAGGAGATAGAATGGAAAAGAGCTGATCTGATCACCAATCGTTGCATAACAGAGCTCGCTGCTACGCAGCATGCTGAAATGCGCCGGTGGGGGTTTAAAAGTCTATAGGAGCTTAGAAACACTATAAGTGACGCACTCAGTGTGTTTGTAACAGAGCTGTCCGGGGAAGGAATCCTGAAGAGGCCAAAGCAGCCTGAATATTACAATACGGCGTATCCTGTTGGTTATGGCTTATTCTGCCTTATTCAGATCTGCATCCAGGCAGGAGGTAGAGTAGAGCCTCTATAGGATCTGAAGAGGCAGGGGGGCGGGAGGGGGGGGGGGGGGGGGGTGCTTTAACGCCAGTGGGCCTATAGCTGTGTAGGTGTGACCTTGGGAAATGATGACCTCATCATCCTCCCTGCCTGCAAAGCTAATCTGTTACATTCTGAAGGATGCTCCTACGATGGAGCCACCCATGAAGGTGACATTGGTGAGTGGGGACTGGTGGCGTGGAGGCACCGGAACCTCACCGAGGCGCGTCCAAACACATTTAAACGAGGATGCGTGTGCACGCATGCAAATACTCTGCCCTTATTTGACACAGAGGAAAGGATTCCTACGTGACGTTGTGACAGGAGCACTGCCACTACATGAAACTTGATGTGAAACCTCCCAGATGCATGCAGCAGGTGTTGCATTACTATGGTGACAGATGTCAGCCTCTGGTTCAAACACACATGACGGTACCAACTTTCTGTGCAGCAGTTTTACGTACGATGGATCCGGTTGCAGGTTATAGCCAACGCCTTGCTCAAGAGTTGTAATCTGTCTTTCTCACCCTTAGAGCGGTTCTTGCCCCGGATGAACTGTTACCAATGGCGCTAATGTGTGTGACCTCTTCAGGTTATAGTGCGTGCGCGACTGTCTCCACCCCCCCCCCCCCCCCCTCCCTCCGTCAACAGATGCCCTTGAGCAAGGCAGCTGATGCGCTGGAGCTGATCAGTGAGGAGCAGCAGAAGACAGACGGGGAATGTTTGTGAGCAAAAATGAGTGGGAAGCAGAGCGGAACATGTGGGCCGCTCAGCCTATGTGCCGTTGCATAACTTTCAGAAGCAGTTGTGTGACAATGGTCTAGTTTACACTATTGATCCCCAGTAATCTATCCACCTATCTCTTTTGTTCTATATGTCCATGTGATACATGACAAACAATATGAAGTTCCATTTGAATTGGGGCACATTTGAGGCAAATACTGCTGAACCCGACTACCCCTCAATCATATTATGAGTCGCTTTTGCCTGATGGAAGATTAAAACGTGTCCATTCATCACATTCAAAGCGAGACGTGTGGTCTCCTGTAGAATAAAATGATACCATGTTGAACATTTCAAATGATTGAGGCTATTTTTTGTGTGTACAGAAAGAACACGTGTACTGAATTGACTGTACTGCTTTTACGGGTTTGTACAACGCGTCCGACTCTAAAGTGAGTTCATGGTGACCTTTACACTTTTAATGAGGATCTCGTATCAGGGCGATAATTCCCGCGTCCTTTATACCGTGACATATATGTTTCCTCAGATGACCGCACAGTGTTTTCGTCAAGTAACGTCGTAATTAAATGCAGAGGCTGCTGTTGTTCTTCGTTAGTGATCGGAGGCTGCCCGTTGTGAGCATGTAGCGCGGCCGACTGCTCTGTGTGTTCACTTCAACTGTGTTTCTCTCGGACTCGGAGGAAAGCACGAGTGGACGGTTTCAAGCTCCCCTCTCGCTGAATTGATTCTACTATGGGTCCTCCACAAACGCGCCGCTGCAACGCGGGGGAGCCCGGATTCAGTTATTCTTGAGGTGTTTCCATTTCAACACTTCGAGCGAGGTGCGTTTACGTGATTTGGTTTTAAAGTGCGGGCGTAGTATTTGTGATCTCGCAAAAACGTTTGGAAGTGTTGGTGACACCCGCTTTCTCGGAAAGGCACGTTTCCAGCACACCCCTGTACCCAAAGATGGTATATTCCACAATTTATTCCAGGGAAAGACTGACAGTTTTTTGGGTCATGAAGCAGCTGTTCAAGTCAGTGGTTCGCCCTCCCTCCGCAAGAATAAGGAATTAGTACATTTCAAATTAGATAACGACAAACGTTGGTGCAAGAAGAGAAAAAAAGTATGACATTGTGTCCGTGGCACAAAATAAACCATTTCGACGTGACCAAAAATATTTTCTACTGCTGAATAACAAAACTAAAATTGCCACGCTTCATTTCCACCACATTAATATGGACAATGCCATATGTTTTGTTAATATCGTTGCAGTCATGTTATTGCACCGGTGCAAATGGGTAGAGTAAATTCCATTTTTCAAATTCTTGTGGTATTAAAGATTGAGAGGTTAGATCTGCCTTACACACACACACATACACGCACACTTACACATACTGTAGCACTACAGTCGAAAGTGGAGTTGAACAATGGTTGAAATACAGTTGACCCTCCTTTTCAATAAATCCAGTCAACGTTAGGTTACGCCTTGGCCATCCGTCAGCCTCCTGTGTAGCTTTAAATGAGAGTTTCCATTCAGGCCTACGTGACAAATTCAAAAATGTGACCTGACTTGGCTACTGAATAGTTATTATAAATGTCATGATCATTACATCTTACACTGCCCTTTACGATTTATTCTGCATAGATCAACACATCGAGGGCATTCATTTACTCTCAATACCATTTGTGTTTTTCAATGTGTTTACCAGGAGTAACCAAATTTGAGCGTATAGTGCAGCATTCGTGACATTTTTTTGTGTGTGCGCGCATGCAGCGTGGGTCAAGCCCCTTGGAAACAGCAGCAGAGGTCCTCTGCTTTTAAGTGGATTAAAACTCCAGCACAATCCCCAGGGCCTGCAGGCATTGGACAGACCGGGTGTAGTTTAGATGAGGATTTAAGACTGATTATCTCTCATGCTGCCTTTGTTTTTGCTGCTACGGCTGCATTTGCGGGTAACAGTGGACTGTATATGGAAAAGTCTACGCTGTCAATTTTAGCAGCGAGAGGGTTATTAGCTAGCAAGTAAGTCTCCAAATTAGTGTGTTTGTAGTTTTACCATCTGTGTCGAATCCTTTGCAGCCCAGCTCCACTCTGAACGCCACGCTGTTACCAACTTTGTCGCGGTGCCGCAGTGGAAAGATTCCTCCGCTCTGAATGTATATACCTGCAGTGTTTATGTTTAGTCTGCCGTCTTATCTACGCTGTAGCATGTGAGCTCCTGTTATGGTTTCGCTTGGACCCAGCGTGTCACTCCCATACTTCTTGCAATGCGTCAGCACCAATTAACCAGGTCAATATTTCTGTGCTCCAGTTGTTGCAAGCCGGCAGTCTGACACTGAGTCTCACACCACGAAAATATTTTATGTTCATCGACATACTTATAAAGTATAGTATGATATAGTATAAAGCGGCCCAATGTCTTGTGTAAATAACACCCTTTTTTCAT